CTTAACCAACTGAGCCACCCAGGCCCCTCTAAGATTTTATTCTTAAGTGATCTCAACACCCAACACAGGGCTCGAACTCACAACCCCTTGATCAAAAGTCACACGCTCCATCAACTGAGCCAGTCAGGCACCCTGCCAACATCTTTCTGAAAGCAAAAGATCCAAATTTGGAACTCCACTCATCCAGCCATCCTTCACCCATCCACCCACCACTCAATCATCCATGCCTCCAATCATCCATGTTTCTTCCTTTTTTTTTTTTTTCTTTATAAAAGACTCTTGGATGTCCTTGTCTGCCAGCTGTATGCTAGGTCCCAGGCCCTTTATTGAAAAGGCGATGTGGATCCTGCCCCTGAGAGCAGACAGAGGAAGTGCCGACGTTAATCATATAGCACCCCTCCCCCCAGCCAAAAAATACCCTGTTACACTAGGGACAGACAGTTCAGCGGCCAATTGCAGCTCCAAAGTCTTATCTTAAGGGGGTCAAAATAGGGTTCCTGGGAAGAGGGATCTTTATGTGAAATCTCTAGGGGAAAGAGAGAAGTAACGGGGAAATACAGGTAGGGAACACTCTAGACCAGAGCTTCCCAGAAGTGGGTGCACAGGACCCCAGGGATCTGGTTAAGGGCAGGTTCCAGCGGCATGGGAGCGGGGTTGGGTCCAAGAGTCCATCTTCCTAGCAAGCTCAACTGCCCTGGTGAGGCTTCCAAGGAGGTGGCATGTTTGAAGGCTCCCAAGGAATTCCTGGAGGAAAACAATTGTCTCAGGAACAGCAAGGCTGGGATACAGGGCAAAGCCTCAGAGCCCCCATGGCAAACTCTCCATCCCTCTTCCTTCCCCCTGGATTCTCCTCTCTGCCTCTCTCCCTGCCTCCCAGTCCCCCTCCTTTGCTCCCATTTCCTCCTCTAGTTAAAATTCTGGGAACAGGTGGACTGGTCGGGCTTGGACCTGACCAGTTATGTTCTTGTTTATTACCAGTCGCCTCCTCCGAGAATGTAGGCACCACTGCAGGGATTCTTGCTTAATGTGTTTTCTGCTAGGTCCCCACATCCAGACCAGCGCTGTCCAACACAAATGAAATACGAGCCACCTGCATCATTTTAAACTTTCTTTTTTCTTTAACTTTTTCAAGAACTTTTTTTTAACTCTTTAAAGTTTTTTATTTTTTTGAAAATTTTCTACTACTAGCTATGTCCAAGAGTAAAAACAGGTAAAATTCATTTTAATAATTTATTTTATTTCACCCTAAATATCCTAAATGTTATTATCACAATGTGAAAGCAACAACGTAAAAATCAACAAGCTATTTTACATTCTGTCTTTTATCTTCATACCACGACTTCAGAATCTTGTGTGAAGTTGACACAGCACACATTCCGTTTGAAGTTACCTTGTCCTCAGAAGTACTTGGCCTATATTCAGATCTCCCAAAATTTGTAGCTGAGAAAGTAGATTCATGTACCCGAGTTGTCCCGGACCTGCTTAGACATTTTCCAGTAACCAAACTGAGTATCAGTTTTATTGCTTAAATTTAAATTCATTGCAATGCAATAAAATCTACTCCGACAATGGCAAGAACACACATTCTTCTCAAAGTGTTCACGGAACAGGCCCCAGGACTAGACCATATAAAAGGCCATGAAACAAGTCTAAATAAATGTACCCAGATATTGATGGTTCAAAATATGTTCTCTGGCCATACTGGAATGAAATTAGGAATCAGGGATGTCTGGGTGGCTCAGTGGGTTAAGCATCTGCCTTTGGCTCAGATCATGATCCCACGGTCCTGGGATGGAGCCCCACGTTGGGCTCCCTGATCAGTGGGGAGTCTGCTTCTCCCTCTCCCTCTGCCTACTGCTCCCCCTGCTTGTGCTCTCTTTCATCCTCTGACAAACAAATAAACAAATAAAATCATTTTAAAGAGATTTTATTTATTTATTTGACAGAGAGAGATCACAAGTAGGAAGAGAGGCAGGCAGAGAGTGGGGGCAAAGCAGGCTCCCTGCTGAGCAGAGAGCCTGATGTGAGGCTCAATCCCAGGACCCTGGGATCATGACCTGAGCTGAAGGCAGAGGCTTAACCCACTGGGCCACCCAGGCGCCCCAACAAATAAAATCTTAAAAAAAAAAGAAATTAGAAATCAAAAACAGAAGGAATTTGGGAGAATTTCCCAGATACGCAGAAATTACCACACTCCTAAATAACCAGGGGGACCGAAGAAGAAATTGTGGGTGAAACTGGAAAATCAAATATTAATTAGAAACTCAGCTCTGGTCCCACTGGCCACGTGTCAAGTGCCCAGGGGTTCCACTTGCTGTTACAGAGGGCAACTCTAGGCACACCTGGCACTTTTAGGAGACAGATGTTCAATAACGACTGAAGAACACACAGAGAAACCCCGTGGGCACAGATGACCCCACCAGCCACTGCTCCGCAGTTGGCTTTGCCCAAACTGGGTCCCATCTCCAGCAAAAGCCCGGGCTGGGTCTTCAAGGCCTTCAAGGGAGGGAGGATTTCCCAGTATCTCTCTGACTCTCCAGGAAGTTTGAGAACATCTACATTGGCTGGGGCCACAAGTACAGTCCCGAGAACTTCAACCCACCCCTGCCAGCCCCTATTCAGCATGAGTACCCCAGCAGCCCCGACGTCATGGAGATGAGTGACCCCACAGTGGAGGAGGAACAGGCCCTCAAGGCAGCCCAGGAGCAGGCCCTGGCGGCAGCAGAGGAAGAGGAGGAAGATGAGGAGGAAGATGAGGATGAGGACCTGGATGACTGAAGGGGGGCCCCTAGCCCTGTCCCCCGAGCAGGTAGATAGCAGGTTTCCCCTTATACATAGTGAGTGATGGGTTGTTTTGTTCACAGTTGGTTTGCTTTCTGCCCCCGGAGGGGGGCAGAAGATAACTGCTCTAAATAAAGAGGAAGATAACTGCTCTAAATAAAATTTCCCCACGGCTTATGGCCGCCGAGGTCTTCATTCTTTTGTTGACATGGCCTCCCAAGTCAGGGCTGTTGGACTCTGCTGGGAACAGACATTGCCCAGCATCGTGTCTCCTACCTGTGTCATTTATTCCTTCATCTGGACAGCAAATGACTACTGAAGTGCCTTCCGTTGGCCCAGCCCTGCACTGAGGACACAGAGGTGGCCAAGCAGCCCCAACTCTGCTTTCCCGGGGCTCACTCTCTATGGGAGAGACAGACACATCCTCGGCAGTGACAACCCAGATGGGGAAGCCCCGAGGATGGACAGAGCTCCTGAACTGATTCTTAAAGGGTCCAGAACAGAGCGGGGAAGGGCATTCCAAGCAGAGGTAATGGCATGTGCAAAGACCCAAGGGCAAAAAAGCGTTGTGTCGAGGTAGTTTCCTGAATCTCCATGTTTAGGACATGGTGTAAGGAGTGAGTGGTGAGGGATGAGGTTGGAAAGAAAGACTGGCAGGAGCAGATCACTCAGGGCTTGACTTTGCTGTGAGAGCCGTAGGGAGCCACAGATGGCCTTGGAGCAAGGGAAGGCCCCACTCACATTCACGCTTTAGAAAGACCTCTCTAGATGCCAAATGGAGTGTACATGGTGGGGTGGGATGGGAGTCCAAGGGAGCAGAGATAAGGCTAATGCTGAGAGGGCCCCAGGAGGACAGGAGGATTTTGGACCAGGGCTATGCAGAGAAAGAGACTGGAAAAGAGGACTTCACTTGACAGAATGCAAAAAAACTTGGGGACTGGAAGCAGGGGATGAAGGGAGACGATGCAGATCTAGGGAGACCCTAAGTTCTGCAGCCTGGATGACTGGGGGGATGGGAGCGTGAGCTCTAAGATGAGAACACAGGAGAGGAGCAGGATTTGGAGGAAGATGTCAGTTTCATGGTAGGACTTGGCGAGTGTGAGATGTCTCTGGGACATTCCGGTGAGAAATCTGAGAGACCACTGAGAATGGGTCTAAGAAGTTCTGTGATGGGGGCAGGGTGGCTTCAGCAGAAGTGAGGGGCAGTGGCAATCAGCAGGGGCTCCTGGGATCAGCAAGAGCTTTTAGATTACTAGTGGATCATTGGGACACTGCGGGCATTGTGGGGATCAATGAAATTCTGGAATCATAAGAGGGTGTTGGAGGACCAAGTGAGACTGTTGAAGACAGTGAAGTCATGGAGATACATACTGTGGGTTGGTGGGAAATGTGGAAAAGTTTAGGGTTAACGTTAATCGGTAGTGGGTCGGATGAAGTCCTTGGAATTCTATGGAGACGATGGAGATCTGCGGGATCTGGGGGCATCATCAAGGATGGGGGAGGAGTGTCTGGAGATGCCATAGCCCGTCACGGATTTTAAGACGTCAGTGGGGGGGCGCCTGGGTGGCTCAGTGGGTTAAGCCGCTGCCTTCGGCTCAGGTCGTGATCCCAGGTCCTGGGTTCAAGCCCCACATCGGGCTTTCTGCTCAGCAGGGAGCCTGCTTCCTCCTCTCTCTCTGCCTGCCTCTCTGCCTACTTGTGATTTCTCTCTGTCAAATAAATAAATAAAATCTTTAAAAAAAAAAAAAAAAGACGTCAGTGGGAAACACTGGAGGTCAGGAAAGTGTATGTTGGGAGTCCAAGAAGGCGCTGGAATCACTGGGGTCATCTGTGACGTGATGGTTATGAACCGGGCCTTCTCTTGAGGGTCCCTCCGTTGCTAGGCAAACCGTTCCCAGGGCACCGTTGCTAGGGATTTGGGCTTTTCCACGACCCCGCCCATCTCCCTCTGGGCCGCGCCCTCAGCCAACCACACGTCAGTCGCTGGCACAGAGGCCACGCCCATCTGTCGGCCCACCCCCAGCCCCAGAACCGTTACCAGAGCGACCGCTGGAGCTCATCCCGCCTCCCGACCCTGTTGCCAATCGAAGAGGCGTCGCCTGGGTGACCACCCCACCCCTTCCGGCGCGGGCCCGAGGCTTCCGGCAGGGGGCCCGGCGGCGGGCGGCGGTCGGGCCTCGGCGGGGCCGGGGCTGGGGGGGGGGGGGGGGGCGCCCAAGATGGCGGCGGGCGGCGCGGAGGGCGGCTCGGGCCCCGGCGCCGCCATGGGGGACTGTGCAGAAATCAAGTCACAGTTCCGCACCCGCGAGGGCTTCTACAAGCTGCTCCCCGGCGATGGCGCCGCTCGCAGGTCGGGTCCGGCTTCCGCCCAGACCCCGGCGCCGCCCCAGCCGCCGCAGCCCCCGCCCGGCCCTGCTTCCTCCTCCGGCCCCGGCGCCGCGGGCTCCGCTCCGTCCCCACCGCCTGCAGGCCCGGGACCAGGGCCCGCGCTGCCCGCCGTGCGCCTCAGCCTCGTGCGCCTCGGGGAGCCCGACGGCGCCGGGACCGGGGAGCCGCCCGCCACGCCCGCGGGGCTGGGTGCCGGAGGAGACCGCGTCTGCTTCAACTTGGGCCGCGAGCTGTATTTCTATCCGGGCTGCTGCCGCCGCGGGAGCCAACGGGTGAGCGGCCTGTATCGTTGTGGCCTCGGTGCTGGCAGAGAGGATAGGGCCCCCCTGAGGTGATCCAGAAGTGATAGAAGGATCCCCGAATGGATTTGGGGTTCTGAGATGGGCATCCTCGATGTGACGGACATCCCAGGGGGAAGGGTGCCCAGAAGTAATGCAAAATTCTAAAAGGGGGGGGGGTCTGGGAGGGCCTCCGGGGTGCTGGCCCTCCTAGAGGTGATGGAGAATCTTGAGGTCATGCGGGATTCCCAGGTTATGCTTGGGGGTTCTGGAGTGGTATTTTGGGGAGATTCTGAGATGCCATGGGACCCTCCGTGGTTCTGGGTGGTAGGGAATCTGCCCGTGGTGGAGAATCCCTAGGCGATGCAGGCTTGCAAGTGATGGAGAACCCCCCGGAGTGTTGCAAGTCTGGAGGTGGTGTGGGGGCTCAGGGGGATCTTGAGACTTTGAGAGCCCAGAGGTGAGGATGATTGTGGAATTGATGGGGCACTTAGAGGTGATAGAGATCCCGCAGGCATATGAAGTCTTAAGGAACACTGGGGTTCTGGGGATCATGAGGGACCTGGAGGGAATGAGAATCTCTGAGCTGATGGGGAGTTGGAGGTGATAAGAGCCCAAAGGGGACATCCTCAGGTGTAATGGGTATTTCTAGAGCGATGTAGGTCCCAGAGGGGATGAGACCCTTGAAGGTTATGGTGGTGCCCAAAAGTGATGGGAGACCCTGAGAGCCCAGAGGTGGTGAAGGACCAAAAATGTGGGGGACCACGAGGTTTAATGTATCCATGAACTATGGTGGGGGTCCTGAAATTTAGGGACTCCAAAGTAAAGAGAATTCTGGGATGTTGGGTGTTAGAGTCCTGGGGATTTGCGTAACCCTGCGTTTGGGGGAGCTTAGAATATTGAGGTGCCAAGATCCAGGGCGAGTTCCTGAGTCTGTGAGCCAGGACTGGAAAGAAATTAGAGCTCAGGGACTGTGGGGACCCCAAGCCTTGATACTGCAGACAAGGGTGTCCCTAAAGTTAGTGAGTCCGACTCTGGGGGGAGGCATTGTGGCCTCATGTGGGGTGGAGGGGGGGCACCTTCCTGTCTGTTTTTTCTTTACTGGGTCTGTGATTGGGTCCTCCTTCCTGTCTGTGGTTGCCCACTCCCCCATCCACCTACCCACTTCCCTTTGGGATTTAACCCTCCTTCCTTTTAGTGGTTTCCCCCAACCTCAACACCCTCTTCCTTCCTCTCAGTGGTAGGAGCTATTAACTCCTTTTCTCCCACTGCTCAGTCCATTGACCTCAACAAGCCGATTGACAAGCGGATCTACAAGGGCACCCAGCCCACCTGCCATGACTTCAACCAGTTCACTGCTGCCACAGAGACCATCTCCCTGCTGGTGGGGTTCTCCGCCGGCCAGGTGCAGTACCTGGATCTCATCAAGAAGGACACCAGCAAGCTATTCAATGAAGAGGTGATTATGGGCCTAGAACAGCTCCCCCCTCCCACTCACCACCTGCACACCATTGCCATGAGACTGCAGCTGCCTGGGGAGCAGTGGAGGCCTGAGAGGGGCAGGAGACAGGAGAGAGGGGGACGGACTAATGGATATATGGCTGGGGTCTCAGACAGTAGCTAGTGGGGTATCAGCTCATAAAGACAGCTGTGCCTCCCATGCTCGGGGCCTCTGTTGTTAGCCCTGTGCCGAACACTTGGCTCCTTGTGTTTTCCTCCATGGGTTAGGGATTGTGGCGCCCATGTTGCAAGGGAGACAACCGAGGCTGGTCCCTGGTTGGGACTTGTTTGAAGCCAGAGCCCTTGATCTTCACATTCTGGGCCTGTGAGCATCAGATTGATATCATTGTGCGCCTTTGAGTCACTGTATGGTTTTGGGGAGGTGACTGTCCCTCCTGAGTCTCACTTTTACTTCTCTGCAAAATGGGATTGTCATCCCTGCCTCATGGGACCATTATTACGAAATCGGATGTGGAAATGGCTTAGTCCTGGCTAGACCTGGTGCCAGAGGACATGGCAAGGAACAACCTTACCCATGGGGGGAGGCCGCTCTTATCCTCTGGCTTTTTCTCTCTGTTCGGAGGAAGTGTTCCACATACACAGAATGCGTGAATGGCAGAAGGGAGCGAGGGTAACAACAGTGAATGGATTAAAAATTCACCAGCTCGTCCATTCACAAAATACGGATTGAGCATTTGGTTTGTGCCAGGCGTTCTAAGCACCGGGGAGCTCACATCTTAGGGAGCAGAACAGACAGAGGGCCGTCCCTTTGTGGAGCCTTCATCATCTAGCTCGGGGAGCAGACAGTTATCAAATAAGTATGCTGCATGTCAGAGGGTGGTGAGTGCCACAGAGAAGAATCCAGCAGGGAAGGGGGATGCGGAGTGTGTGGTGGGGTTTAAAATTAAGTAGGCTGGTCGGGGAAGGCATCACTGAGGGGGGTGACATTGAAATAAAGACCTGAAGGAGGCAAGCAAGTTATCAGGGGAGGACATTCTTTTTTTTTTTTTTTTTTTTAAGATTTTATTTATTTATTTGACAGACAGAGATCACAGGTAGGCAGAGAAGCAGGCAGTGAGAGAGGGTGAATCAGGCTCCCCGCTGAGCAGAGAGCCCGATGCGGGGCTCGATCCCAGGACCCTGGGATCATGACCTGAGCCGAAGGCAGAGGCTTCAACCCACTGAGCCACCCAGGCGCCCCAGGGGAGGACATTCTGAGTAAAGGGAACAGCTAGGACAAAAGCCCAGAAGCAGGACAGCAGAAGGACTGTGTGGCCAGAGCAGTTACTGAGGGGGAGTGTGGGAGATGGGTCCCGAGAAATAACTGGGAGGCATCAGTCCCTGGAGGGGCTGGAAGCTCATGGTAAAGACTTCAGCTTTCAGAGCATTTCTCCACCAGGGTTCCTCTCAGCCAGAGAACACAGAGATGATGTGATTCTTTTCCAGCTTCTCTCCAAGAATGAGAAGCAACTGAGATGCCCGGGGAAGAAGTTAATTCATTGTGTACAGTGAGTGCCAGGGGGCTTCAGGGCTCAGTTCTCTCTGGAACCCTGCTTGAGAAGGGCTGCCATGCTGTGGGGCTCGTTGGGAGAGGAGGGCAGGTTCTAGGTATCAGCAAAGGATTGGCTCTGAGTTGCGAGGGGGAAAGGAGCAGAGGCGCATGTGCAGCTGGCAGGACAGGGCTGTCCCTCGTGTGTCGAGGAAATCGTTTCCAGGCATCTGCTGTGTGCACAGGTCTATGCTCGGGTTAGAGCAGTGAACCACACAGACGAGTTTCGCTTCCCTGGGGGAGCGGATGTTCTGTGAATCATTCTCTTGTGAAGCCTGAGGCAGTAAAGACAGAGGAGATGGTTAGACAGGTGAGGAGAGTTCTCTGAAAGGCAGGACTGTCCCCTTGCCAGAGACGGGACACCAAGGCTCCATGGAGCTCCCCGGGGCTGCCTCACAGGCCGCCCTTCTTCCTTTGCATCCCTGTGGCCCGCTGTCCGGCCCTTACCCTCGGGGGTGGGGGGGGGCTGTCCGAGGAGGTCAGGGCCGCGTCCGAGGGCCGTTTCGGGGAACCGGCTCGGGGAGGAGGTTGGCCAGGAACGGGCCGCCTCCCCCAGCCCCCCAATCTGTCCCGGCAGCGGCTGATCGACAAGACAAAGGTGACCTACCTGAAGTGGCTGCCTGAGTCCGAGAGCCTGTTCCTGGCCTCGCACGCCAGCGGCCACCTGTACCTGTACAACGTCAGCCACCCGTGCGCCTCGGCCCCGCCCCAGTACAGCCTGCTGAAGCAGGGCGAGGGCTTCGCCGTCTACGCCGCCAAGAGCAAGGCGCCCCGCAACCCGCTGGCCAAGTGGGCTGTGGGTGAGGGGCCCCTCAACGAGTTCGCCTTCTCGCCCGATGGCCGGCACCTGGCCTGCGTCAGCCAGGACGGCTGCCTGCGCGTCTTCCACTTCGACTCCATGCTCCTGCGTGGGCTCATGAAGAGCTACTTTGGGGGCCTGCTGTGTGTGTGCTGGAGCCCCGACGGCCGCTACGTCGTGACAGGTGGCGAAGATGACCTGGTCACCGTGTGGTCCTTCACCGAGGGCCGTGTGGTGGCCCGGGGCCACGGCCACAAGTCCTGGGTCAACGCCGTGGCCTTTGACCCCTACACCACGAGGGCCGAGGAGGCGGCCGCAGCCAGTGGTGACGGGGAGCGGAGCGGAGAGGAGGAGGAGGAGGAGGAAGAGGAGCAGCCTGATGCGGGGGGCACAGGCTCCGGCGGGGGAGCCCCCCTCTCCCCACTGCCCAAAGCCGGCCCCATCACCTACCGCTTCGGCTCAGCCGGCCAGGACACGCAGTTCTGCCTGTGGGACCTCACCGAAGACGTGCTTTACCCCCACCCGCCCCTGGCCCGCACCCGCACCCTCCCTGGCACGCCTGGCACCACGCCCCCCGCTGCCAGCAGCTCCCGGGGCGGCGAGCCTGGCCCCGGCCCCCTACCCCGCTCCCTGTCTCGCTCCAACAGCCTCCCGCACCCGGCAGGCAGTGGCAAGGCCGGCGGCCCGGGTGCCACAACTGAGCCGGGCACACCGTTCAGCATCGGCCGCTTTGCCACGCTCACACTGCAGGAGCGGCGGGACCGGGGGTCGGAGAAAGAGCACAAGCGCTACCACAGCCTGGGCAACATCAGCCGGGGGGGCGGCGGCGGCGGGGGCGGGGGTGGCGGCGGGGACAAGCCCAGCGGCCCTGCTCCCCGCAGCCGGTTGGACCCAGCCAAGGTGCTGGGCACCGCGCTGTGCCCGCGCATCCACGAGGTGCCCCTGCTTGAGCCCCTGGTGTGCAAGAAGATCGCCCAGGAGCGGCTCACGGTCCTCCTCTTCCTGGAGGACTGCATCATCACCGCCTGCCAGGAGGGCCTCATCTGTACCTGGGCCCGGCCGGGCAAGGCGGTGAGTGGCCCCATGCCAGCCTCCCCAGGGCCCAGGGAGAGGCGGGCGTCAGCAGGAGGGTTTGTCCCAGTCATAGCCTTTAGTCCTGTGGGAAAGGGGAAGCCAGGGAAATCTTAGCGTCCCAGAGCAAGACTTCTCAGATCTTAAGAGTACCGGGCTTCTAGAACTCTAGAACTCTCTGTGGCAGCAGAGAGAGAGAGGGTTGGGTGGAAGAGACAGCTGGGAGTGCTGAGGACCGTGGCCAGCTAGCTGAAGGGCAGCCAGTGGGCCCAGCATACCCAGACCTTATCACTTATCACTCGAAGCCAAATCTGGGTTTCTAAGGGGCATAAGGATTTGTGAGTTGTGAAACCCTTTGAATAATGCAGGTCAAATTCTGTGGGCAACACTGAGCCTGTGGGCCCGCCTTCTGGCCTGGATCTCAGACTCTGGATCTGAGCCCACCTCTAGAGTCCCAGCTTTTGGAATCCCAGCTTGGGTTCCGGGGCTGCTCCCTGTGCGACCTTGGGCAAGTTGCCGCTCTTTGCTGACCCCTTGAAGGCGGGTGGGAGGTGGATGGGTCCAACTCCTGGGATAGCTGTGGGGTTCAGGAAGGGCCCGGTGGGGAAGATCCCAGTGCAGGGAGCGTGGGCCTAGCCCCTTCCATCTTTGGAGCTCTTGTCTTTAGAGGGCTCAGCTCCATGGGGTTTGGGCTTGTGTGCCCGGGATGCTAGGTCTAAGGCCCAGGGAGGGAGTGGTTTGAGAACTATAGGGTCTCGAATCCTAAGAACATCCTAACAGTCTCAGAGGCAGGGTCTTTGGGATTTGGGGAGTCTGACGAGTCCTGAAAGAGACCCCTCTATCTCCCTAGTTCACAGACGAGGAGGCGGAGGCCCAGACAGGGGAAGGAAGTTGGCCCAGGTCACCCAGCAAGTCAGTGGTAGAGGTAGGATTGCCCCTAAGTTCTCTCCCCCTCACCTCCCCAGTCAGAAAGGACCCCCGAGTTCCCCCCGATCCTCTCCACCCTTACCCCCTTCTCTGTGCTCAGGACCACCGGAGGACTTTAATTGTGGTCCAGGAGTGCCGCCTGCAGGGCTGGGGATGCTAGCGGGACTGGGACCTAGAGCAGCGGCCTCTGTCTGGGGGGCTCTGGGGTGGACCGAAGGGCAAGGCCAGGGTGGCAGCCGCCTTGGGGGACTCCAGGCAGGCTTCCTCCCCACGGGACAGGTGGAAGCCCCAGGCAGCCTCTAACCCTCCTGTCTCCTCTGTCCTCTTCCCCAGGGCATCTCCTCCCAACCAGGCAACTCCCCGAGCGGCACAGTGGTGTGAAGCCACGGATGTCGGGGTTCCCAGCCCCCACGCTCCCTGCCTCCTAGCTGTATTCCTCCCGCTGACCTCACGGATCAACGTATTAACAAGACTGACCATGGCGGAGGGACTGCTCCCGTCCCTTGCCCTGCACAGATTTGGGGGGGCAGAGGGTCTTCCAGACCGGCCCAGACACTCGGGGGATGTAGTGGCCCATGCGGCCTCAGCCTTGTCCCCACCCACTGCCAAGTACAATGACCCCTTCCTCTGAAACATCAGTGTTCGCCTCATCCCTGTCCCCAGCATGTGACTGGTTGCTCCTGGGGGAGAGACTCCCTGCCCATAAGCTCTGCAGTGTGCCCCTTGTCCTGGGGGCAGGGCCGGGGTGGCCCACCCCTCCCCTGGCCTCCACCCTGCCCTTGCTGTTGTTCGTGCTTTTGAAGAGTGTTAAATTATGGAAGCCCCTTCGGGGCCCTCCCTGTCCCCCAGGACCTCTTATTTATACTAAAGTTCCCTGTTTTCACAGCGTCTCTGTTCCCTTCCGGGAGGTGTGGAGGGAGTGTGTGTGCCTTTTTGCTGCAGTCCTAGAATCCAGCTACTTCCACCAAAGGAAGAGTTTGGCCCTGCCTCTCCCTGACCCGGTCCCCTCCCTGCTCTGTTCTCACTGCAGGAGGAGCTGAAGGCCTGAGGAGGAGCTCAGGGTGCACGGCAGGCCGGCCCCCCTGCCTGCCAGCCCTCCAGCCCTGAGCCCCGGGCCCCCAAACTCTGGAGGAGAAAGGGCCGCCAGGGCCCCCTTGCCAGTTTGAAAGTGCTCGAACTATCCAGATCAGATATGGAGGGGGGCTGCCCGGATGGGTCCCCAGGTAGCTCCTGAGGTGCTCAGAGTGCGCCGCAAGTCTTGGCCTCCTGCTGCTTCAGGGCTCCTGGCTCGCAGGGCGCCAGTTGGAGACCACGGTTTCCTCCGGGAGCGGGAGCGCTGTCCGCCCCTGCCGGGAACAACGAAAATCCCTCCTGGCTGGCTCTCCGGAGCTGCAGGGAGGGGTGTCTTCCCGCTCTGCCCTCCACCCCCCGAAATGTTTCTGTTTCTAATCCTGGCCTGGGCAGGAATGTGGCTGTGCGGCCAGGTCCAGGGAGCTATTCTGGGGGCTCCTTTGCCTCCCCCAGGCTTTGGCCAGTGGGTCACCCCCGGTCCTGGCTCCTGAGGGCCTCCCTTCCCAATTCTCTCACCACCCCTTCCCCACCTCCTGCCAAAAAAAAAAAAAACAACCCGGTCAGTGTAAAGCAGAGGCCCTGAGGGCTAAATTTAAACTGTCCCAAAGTCTGAATCCCTGGCTGAGTCACCCTTGAAGCTGCGCTGGCCTCCTGCCCCCCACCGTCCTCCCCCCTTTCCTCCCCCACCCCAATTCCAGGGCTTGAGAGGGGTGTTACCCGATCATTCTGAACCTCAGTTGGCCCCCTCGGGATGGGAGGGCTCATCTTTGGCCTCTGCCACACCTGTAGCTCCCTCTGGGCTCCGCCTTTTTGGGGGGCAGGCGTGGTGCGAGAGTTGGGATTCTCCATCCCCCCATCTCACACTGAGTAGTCCTGAGGGGCCCTGGTAGGAGGGAGTTGGGGGGCCTGGCTCTGGAGGGGTTAAGGCCGGGAGGCGGGAGGGGGCCGGACCGAGGGGTGGAGAGAAGGGGAGGAGGCCTCAGCAGAGAGAGAAGTGGCCAGAGAGGCCCAGGGGACAGCCAGGGACAGGCAGACATGCAGCCAGAGCCCCAAGGCCTGGACAGGGGCTGCCGGGCCCCGTGACAGGAGGACCCCGAGCCCCTGGCCCGGGGAGGGGCCATGGTGCTGCCTGTCCAACATGTCAGCCGAGGTGCGGCTGAGCCGGCTCCAGCAGCTGGTGCTGGACCCTGGCTTCCTGGGGCTGGAGCCCCTGCTCGACCTTCTCCTGGGCGTCCACCAGGAGCTGGGGGCCTCCGACCTGGCCCAGGACAAGTATGTGGCCGACTTCTTGCAGTGGGGTGAGTGCCTGCCTGCATGCGTGCCCCAGATTGGGGGGTGGGGAGGGCAGGGCAGAGGCTGGAGATGAGGAGAGTTGGGGGCAAGGTAGATGTGGGAGAGCCTCCCACTCAGGAGCCCGAAACTTGGTCCTGGGTCCTAGGGTGCCATGCCCCTACCCCTGAGCCACCCTGGCAGGGCAGGCCGGGCTCAGCAGAGGGTAGCACAGGCATGGCTCAAGAGCTGTGACCCGGGAGCCGTGGTAGGCTGGACTGGAAACAGCTTCCCGTGGTCCTGCTGTACCCCCTCCCCAAGGTCTAGGCCTAGGGACATGCTGGGAGCCCCGTGTCCTGGGACCACCCTCACACATGCCAAAATGGGCCCCATGGCTCTCCATCCTGGTCTCCCAGAGCACAGGGACAGGCAGAAGGGACAACATGGGGCAGCTGCCAGGGGCGCGGCCAGTGGGCAGGTGTTCGGCGCCAGCCTCTCCAGCTGCCGCAACAGGTGCCCAGGCCCTGGGGGAGAACCAGCTCTGCAGACAGGCACCACCCAGCACCCCTCCACCCCCTGGATGCCAGGGGAACAATTTAGAGTTCTCCTGGGTGTGCCCATTTTCTAGGATCTGGCCACCCCCCCTTCCCAGCCCTGGTCCATCTAGTCTGCATGGGGCAGCCTTGACTCCCCTCCAGCTCCCCAGGTCCCTCTTCTCATGACTTCTGACCTTCCGGCTCTTGCACAAAGTCCCTTCTGGCCAGGTCTTCCCCTGGAGACCAGTCTGGAAGGCAGATGCTTCCACCTCAGCCTCTGGCCTTGTCCGCCTCTCTCTTGGTTTTCTCTCTCACTGACACCCTGCCACTCCGTCCCTGCAATGGCTTGTCCCTCAGTGGCTTGCGCTTGGTCGCTGGGTCATTGGTCACTAGGTTCTGTCACTCTGCCTCCCCCTCTCCTCCATTTCTCGTGTTCATCTCTTTCTGACCCAGGCCTCACTCCTGTCCCTCCCATTTCACAGATAGGAAGGTGGAGACCAAAGGCCAGGCCACTCAGGCCCTGGGAGAACTTTCTCCCCGCCTCCCCCGGGCCCTTAATAACTCTCTGGGCCCTGATTTTGCAGAGTGGGAAGTTCAGCTGGCTGGGTAAACTGAGCCTAGAGCTGGGGGGCAGGGGTCTGGCTCTCCTGTAAGGAGCACTCCTTTTGTGGCCTGAGCAGTATTCTGCGGCCCCTCCCCTGCCAGGCCGCTGGGGCGGGGGAGGGGACCTGGGTTCCCGCTGCCTTAAAAGGGCTCAACGTCTTGGCTCTCTCCTCCCTCCCTTGTCCTGGGCCCTGGCTGGTTCTTCCCTGCCGGCCCCGCTCTCCCCGAAACTCGTGGGGGTCCGTCTCTCGCTGCCTTAGCCCACTTTACCTCCCCTTACTCTCACTTGAACCCATCCCTCTCTCTGTGTTGCCTCCCAAGTCCGCAGCGTCCTCCACTTCCCAGGCCTCCCTCTCCCTGTGCCTCTGCATTCCCTCCGCTAGGCCCTTCCCCTCCCAACCTGCCCTCTTTAACATTCCTAGCTGTAGGGCTGGGCCAGACTCTTCACGCATCTGAGCCATGACCTCCCCACCCATAAATGAGTGACTGAAAGAACCTTCTTCCCCGAGTTGAGGACAGAGCAGCGAGTACACTAGAGCCTGGAATTTGGATCCACGCTGGCTTTGTCTTCCTCTCCTGTTCCCTCTGGGGGCCCCATCCCCAAATCCAGTGTTTCCCAAAGTGTGGTCCAAAGCCACCAGCATCTAAACCTGGAGGTGCTGGACTAAACTGAGCGTTCCAGGACGGGATCTGAGATGGACTGATAAGCCTGGGGTGGGCCTGGCAGGCATTCCCACTCCCAGCCGGAGGACGGGTGAGGCCCGAAGCTCTGGGGGGCCCTAAGGACGGGGCCTCACCTCATCTTCTGTTCTCCAGAGCCTCCCTTTCCCAGAGCCCGCCCTCTCCACCTGCACCCACTAGAGCCCTCTGGCTCAGTGTCCTTCTTTAAAAGGGGTTCCTCAAGCATCCCACCTTTTTTTCTGTAGGAGGGGAGTTCAGGGGTCCCCAGAACTTCTCACAATGTTTTTGTGGGGAAGCCTTTGGGAGGCTGACAGTCCTAGGAGAGAGAAAAGGGGAGAGAACAAGGGACAGAGGAGACCGTGGGACAGAGACCGGGGGTCTGGGGGTGGGGTGGGGGGAGACTGAGGGGCAGAGGGTGGGACTTCCTCCTGTCTCTACTGTCAGTCCCAGTTACCCTCGGTTCTCACCTCCCCCTGCCCCCCAGTGGAGCCCATCGCGGCGAGGCTTAAGGAGGCCCGTCTGCAGAGGGATGACTTCGAGATTCTGAAGGTGATCGGACGCGGGGCGTTCAGCGAGGTGAGCCTTGAGCGGCGGCTGCAGCTAGCCGGAACAGGGGACGCGACTTTTCGTGCAGTGGGCGGGACCCAAGGGTTTGGGGCGGGACCTTAGAAATTGATGAATGACTGAGTTGAGAAAGCCTGCACCAGTCGGGCGGGAGCGGGGCTTGAGGGCGCTGGGCGTGGCGTTAATAGTGGGGCGGTGCCACGAGCGTGTTAGGGGTGGAGTCCAATCTGGGCCAGCCCCCGTGTTTCCCCTGCCACCTCCGCCCCCGGTCACCCCGTTTCGGCCTTCAGGTGGCGGTGGTGAAGATGAAGCAGACGGGCCAGGTGTACGCCATGAAGATCATGAATAAATGGGACATGCTGAAGAGGGGCGAGGTGAGGGCCGGGGCCGGAGGTGCAGGGTGCTAGGGTTACCCACCCCCGCTCCGGCCCCCGGCCGCTTCAGTACCTCTGGGGGCCCCGCAGGTGTCGTGCTTCCGCGAAGAGAGGGATGTGTTGGTGAACGGGGACCGGCGCTGGATCACAGAGCTGCACTTCGCTTTCCAGGATGAGAACTACTTGGTGAGCCCCAGACCCGGGAGGACTAGGGAGACAGACTCCGACCCCGAGGCTGTCAGTGAACGTCGCAGGGTCAGGGGGAAGCTCTAGGCTTGGGGAGCTGCCTCGAAATGGCAGCAGCGTCTCTGGGTGTGGTAGGAATTGGTCTTCCTTTCCCGGGATGGAAGATGTCCCTCACCACTCTTTTCCCAGGCTGATTCCAGAGGACCCTGTAAAGATGCCACCTTCGCGGGTGGGGTGGGATCTTTCACCTGGACTGCGATAGCTCTCTACAATCTATCGGGGGGCCCCTGGGCGGGGTATTTAGGCTGTGTACTTTGGGCACTGGGAGCTCTCTGGGCTCTCTTTTCCCTTCTCTCTTTGATTTTGGGGAGGAGTGTCTCTGGTTTGGCCTGGGAGATCTCTCGGGCTCTCCTTGGGCTGGGACTACGGGGCCTCTGCCCAGGGATGGGGCATTTGCGGACAAAGACATAGGCTTTGTCCCGGGCTATCAACAGTCAGCGAGGAGGGGTGTGACTGACTACCCCCCGCCCCCCGCCATGTCGCGCCCCCTGCCAGTACCTGGTCATGGAGTACTACGTGGGCGGGGACCTGCTAACGCTGCTGAGCAAGTTTGGGGAGCGGATCCCGGCAGAAATGGCGCGCTTCTACCTGGCTGAGATTGTCATGGCCATAGACTCGGTACACCGGCTGGGCTACGTACACAGGTGGGCGCAGCGGGGGCTGACGCCGGGGGCTGACGCCGGGGCCCTGAGAAGGAAAGCAAAAGTTGCACCCAGGCAGGGAGCAGGGTACCTCTAAGGTTGGACCCCAGAGGGGGCGAGGCCGGGAGAGGGACCTCACTGGTGGGGGCCACTGGGGACAGGGCCAGAGGAGTGGGGTTCAGATTTCAGAATCCACTAAGGGGGAGCCGCAATTGGAGAGCATGGTCCCTAAGAGGGTGGGACCCGAGGCCGTGCTGCCTGGAGGGGTGGAGCCTGGTGAGATGAATGGAAGGAGGCTCACTTATTCCACTTGCCCCTTCCGTTTGCGCAGAGACATCAAACCCGACAACATCCTACTGGACCGCTGCGGTCACATCCGTTTGGCCGACTTCGGCTCCTGCCTCAAGTTGCGGGCAGACGGAACGGTGAGCGGTGCGGTGCGCCGCTTCGGGCAACTCGGTCCACCAAAGAGGAGTGGGGTCAGATGGGGGGACCGAAAGTGCAGTGTGGCAGCGGGGCTGAGGCGCACAGGTAGAGTTAGGGTGAGGGCACGACCAGATTTGGAGAGGGAAAGAGGAGGAGGGCACCCACGCCTAAATTTGTGAGTGGCTTGGGGTTAGCACACACGAGGGGAGGACTACGCCTTCGGGGCGTGGTTGAGAGGGGCGGGGCCAGAGCCCGGAGGGGCGGGGCCGAGCCCAGCTCTGCGCCTTTTGGCTCAGGTGCGGTCACTGGTTGCTGTGGGCACGCCGGACTACTTGTCCCCCGAGATCCTGCAGGCGGTGGGCGGCGGGCCCGGGATGGGCAGCTACGGGCCCGAGTGTGACTGGTGGGCACTGGGAGTGTTCGCCTATGAGATGTTCTACGGGCAGACGCCCTTCTACGCCGACTCCACGGCTGAGACCTACGGCAAGATCGTGCACTACAAGGTGAGCCCGGCCAGAGGAAGCCCTGGTCTCCCTCACACATCCTGCCCAGCTGACATCCCCCGTCCTCCCTCTCCCTCGGGCAGGAGCACCTGTCTCTACCACTGGCCGATGGGGGGGTCCCTGAGGAGGCTCGAGACCTCATCCAGCAGCTGCTGTGTCCCCCTGAGATGCGGCTGGGCCGGGACGGAGCAGGTGATTTCCAGAATCATCCTTTTTTCTTTGGCCTTGACTGGGACGGTCTCCGAGACAGCGTGCCCCCTTTTACGCCGGATTTTGAGGGTGCCACTGACACGTGCAACTTCGATGTGGTGGAAGACGGGCTCACTGCCATGGTGAGCGGGGGCGGGGTAGGTACCTGCGACCACTGCTGGGCAGAGGGTATCCCACCCCCCCAACACCTCATCCATAAAGTTGGGCTTAGAATAGTACCCATTTCCTGGGGTCTTGAAATCATTCCTCCCCCAGAGCACGTGCTCTATGCCCCCCCCCCAGCCCAGTGCTGGGAACCCAGTGGTGACCTGGACTCACAATCCAGTGGGGGAACACAGACTGGTCCCCAGACAACGACTCCCCACAGAGTTCGGAGATGAGACTGGGAGGACGGGGGTGGGGCTCTTGACCCAGCATGGAAAATCTTGGAGCGCTGTCTGGAGGAGGCGCTATTTGAGCTGAGGCCTGGATGATTAAGAAGTGAGAGGCAGGAAAGCACAGTGGTGTGAAGGAATCTCTTTTAGGCCACCTCTGTCTCAACTGTGACACAAGCTGTCCTGAGCGCATGTTCAGCCTGGGTGCCCTTGTGCCAGGTGCTGCTGGGGACACACAGGGACCAAGCCAGCTCCAGCCCCTGGCCTCTTGCCCTCATCCACTTACAGCCCGGGAGAAGTATGTAATTACAGCGTGGGGAGTGCCCCAAGGGGAACCGCAGGATACAATGAAAGAAGATGAGGGAGGGGCCACTTGAGATAGTGGGAGCAGGTATTTAAGCACAGACTGGGAAGGGCCCAGGGACCAGCCCCGAGGAGCACAGGTCACCCACATCTGTTTCTCTTGTATAGGAGACGCTGTCGGACATGCGGGAAGCCATGCCACTGGGGGTCCACCTGCCCTTTGTGGGCTACTCCTACTCCTGCATGGCCCTCAGGTAGGCGTGGCCCCAGGGCAGCCTGTGAGTAGGCCGCAGGTGCCAGCCTCCAGAGGCCCAGGGAGGGGCGCCCAGTCGTATTGCAGGATTAATCTTGGAACTTTCCTGCCTTGGGACCACAGACTATTAGGATTCCAGAGACGTAGGACCTTAAAATCTCAGACCATAAGTACTGTGAAATTTTAGATTCAGTTTTAAAACCTCAGAGCCAGACTTGGCCTTCCGGAATCTTCCAACCTTCCGCTTTCAGATTTCTAGTATAGTCATGGGACCTCTGAATCTTAGAAAATAAGTTTAGAATTTCTAAATTGATCTTAAAAGAATACAAACTTACTGAATCACTCTTATAACCACAAAGCCTTTTAAATACATTAATTATACAAACAGTATTTTGCTTGTCACAAGTAAATTAGAAAATGCGGACAAGGAAAAGGAAGCCCAACATCAGGGACGGTCCCTAGCTCATATATGCGCGCCCACATACTTGACAACTGTGAGAACATGATGTGGACTAACCTGTTTAGTTACTGGACAATGTATCGCAAAAGCCATTTCCTTTTCTTTAAATTATTTTTTAAAATTTAAAAAGATTTTATTTATTAGAGAGAGAGAGAGAGAGAGAGTGTGCACAAGCACAAGAAGCTGGGGGTGGGGGCAGAGCGAGAGGGACAAGGAGACTTCCCACTGAGCAGGGAGCCCCATGTGGGGCTCGAACCCAGGACTCTGAGATCATGACCTGAGCGGAAGGCAGAGGCTTAACCGACTGAGCCACCCAGGCGCCCCGCAAATGCCAATTCTTACCATGAATGAACAACAGCCTGAGCCACAGAGCAGTGTGCTCCTCACTGGGCGCGTTGGGACCCAGCTGTCCATCTCTGTTGTAACCCAGGCTTGATGAACAGCTGCGGCGGGTCAGGCTCGCCCAGGCTCACCAGGCCCTTGCAACCAGTTTCCACGAGACGGAGTGTTGGGTTGGAGGGGACATCCACTTTTATGGCAATTTCACATTCCCAGGGAGGGTGTGACCCCGTCCCAGCAGCTGGGGATGGCAGGGGCGCTGATGACCAGAATCACAGTCCTGGGATCCCACACCCAGTCTCAAGACCATATCTTTGGAGGTGGCTAGAGTCGGGTGGGGCACTCCTCACTGTCCTGACATCCTAAGGAGAGGGGTCTGCAAAGGTCACATGGAGAGGGAGGACATAAGTAGGCCCCAGAGCATGGGTGTCTGGATCCCAGGATCTTCCAGAAGGTGCAGAGGCCGGCTCCCAGGGCCATGAGGCCATGCGAAGGGCAGGCCTTTACTAACAAGAAGGGGACCTGTCCCACCAACCTGGCAGTTAGTTCCCTTCTCTCTGCCCTTCCCCTCCTCACACTAGGGGGTCTTCAGGGTCTGGCTCTCCCATGACCACAGGAGAGGAAGTCCTGGCTCTAAACGCAAGGGACGGGCAACCTCTCGAGGGGGCCCAGCTCTCCCTCCCCTTGCCCTGCTCCTCTCCCCAGGGACGAGGAGGTCCCAGGCCCCACAGCCATGGAACTGGAGGCCGAGCCATTGCCTGAGCCACCTGTGCAAGCAGCCAGCCCGGAGCCCACCGTGCCCCCACCGGAGGAAACAGTGAGTCTTTGGAGGAGAAGGTCAGGCACGAAGGGGAGAGAAACGCAAGGGCTTCCGGGATCTTGTGTGCTGTGGAGTGCTAAGCTCTCTGGGAGCTCACTTGACAGAAAGGGACAGAAAACAAAGTAGAGACAAAATTACTTCAGTCAGAAATGATCCCTATGAAGAAATGAAAACAGGCCATTGTGTTTGGGAGGAGAGGACTCTGGAGAGGGGCAAGCCCAAGAGGAGGAGGAGGAGGAGAACAAGGAGGACCATCTCTGGGAAGAAAAGTACCTACTGGTCAATTCAAGGAAAAGGTTTATTCTGGAAAAGGAAAGGAGGGCGGTAAGGCTGACTTACTTATTCCAGGAGGAGGGGCGTGGAGAATGAGGGGAGAGAAGACTGAGGCCAACAGGAAACCAGCCAAACAGGGAGGCAGGCCTTCCCCTGAGGGCGCTGAGGGGCTGGAGAGGAGGAGAGGGACGTGGTCAAACTGGGTGTGGGTGGTAGGAACAGGCCTTTGGTTCCTGGGTGGAAGAGTCCAGACCAAAGGCAGGAGACCAGGAGAGGGGCTGGGGTTAGTTAGGGAAGGAGATCTGGGTCACTGCACGAGCTGGGAGGATTCCCAGAGATCTAGAGGACAAGGAGGGGGGCGTCCCCAGCCTAGAACCTGGGCGCAGGTCTTGGGTGCGGCGGGAGCCGCGAGCAGCCCTAAGCGCAGTTCCGCGCAGTCCCGCCCGCAGGCTGAAGCGGCGATTCCGGAAGCCATTCCAGCCTCGGCGGAGGCCCAGGAGGCCGGGATGACGCTGCGGGAGCTCCAGGAGGCCCTGGAGGAGGAGGTGCTTACTCGGCAGAGCCTGAGCTGGGAGTTGGAGGCCATCCGCACAGCTAACCAGAACTTTGCCAGGTCGGGGTCGGGGCGCCCGGGTCCGTCCCTGCCGTCTGCAGCCCGTCTCGCTCGAGCCCGGGAGGGCTCACGGTCTTCTGCTCCCCGCAGTCAGCTCCGTGAGGCCGAGGCCCGGAACCGAGACCTGGAGGCGCACGTCCGGCAGCTGCAGGAGCAGATGGAGCTGCTGCAGGCCCGGGGAGAGGCAGGCGAGTCCCTCATGCGTCCCCTTTCCCGAGGGCGACGGGGGGAGGTGGGCCGCGGCGTGTGTGGACACCTGGGGGCGGGCGAGGGGCCCAGGCTGGGGCACGCCGCGCCACCGCCCTCCTCCGTCCCTCCACGCGCCCTATGCCTCTCTCTTCTCCTTCCAGCTGTCACGGGGGTCCCCAGTCCCCGGGCCACGGATCTACCTTCCCATGTAAGACCCCTCTTTTTCCCCTGTATCAAGCCTTTTAGCCCCTCTGCAGACCCCGCCCCGTCTCCCCGCCCAGATTCAGGGATCACCCTAACTCTTGGGGGTTCCAGACAGCAAACACCCTCCATTCAGCCCCACGTCTACCAGATACCCCTCGGTCCAGGCCTCTAACCACATTCCGTCTAGGCTCTCCCTCGATTCCTTCCCCGACTCCCTCCGCTGTCTCTCGCCCCCTGCTGAGGGCGGCCGGGCCGGGCTGGGCTCCGATCGGGTCACCTGTCCCTTCTCTCTCCAGCTAGATGGCCCCCCGGCCGTGGCTCTGGGCCAATGCCCGCTGGTGGGGCCAGGCCCCATGCACCGCCGCCACCTGCTGCTCCCTGCCAGGGTACGTCCGGCTGCTCACGCCCGCCCGCCGCCGCGCCCCCTCCTCGCTCCACGTACCCCCAGGCCGCCTCTGCTTAGCTGCGCCTCTGTCGCGCGGGGCCCGCAGCGGGGAGGGAGGATGCCGGGGCAGCCAATCAGCAAGGCCGCTAGGAAGCCTCCAGTGGCGAGTTCGGACAAGACTTGAGGCTTGCCAGCGGACCAACCGCCGCTGCCCGCGGGGGCGGGGCAGAGTGCAAGAGAGGATGGCGGACCCACCTATGGGAGTAGGCGTGGCGAGTCCCAGGAACCAATTGGTGTGCCGTGTCGCGGGGACCTGATCCCGCCCTCTTGTCCGCAGGTCCCTAAGCCTGACCTATCGGAGGCGCGTTCCCTGCTCCTGTTCGCCGTTGCTCTGGCTGCTGCCGCCGCCTTGGGCTGCACTGGGTTGGTGGCCTACGCCGAACATCTCGCCCCGGTCTGGCGCCACCCAGGAGCCGCCTTCGCCCACTGAACCCTAGAACCCCAAGCCGGAGGGTTGGGTGACCTGGGCCATCGCCCAGAAGCCGCTCCCACCGCCTCCGCGTTCACAACGCTCCAAGCGTGGGTCTTCACCCCAGCTCCAGCCCTGTGATCCGGGCCCGCCCCCTGGCGGCCGGGGAGGGAGGAGCCGGGCCCGCGGTCGGAGCACGGCGCTCCGGGAAGGCTTGTAACTGGGGGGAATCGCAGACCACTTCCTTCCTGCGGCCTGGCTGAGGCCCCGACATGGATGGGCAAACTGCCATCTAGAGAAGGCAGCAGGGCCAGGGCTCGGCCATCAGTTTATCACCCTCCCCGCCTCCCCACTGCCCCTACCCCGCCCCCATCGGTTCGCAGACCACAAATCCTTCTGCATGAGGCCCCGCTGTCCCGGGAACGTCCTCTTCCCGCGGCGAACGTCTAGTGCGAGCTCCGCCCGCCCGCTCTCTCGGGAACCTTGTGCTTTTGCCAGCCCCGCTCTTTCCGGGACTCCCGCGCCCTCCTCACGTGAGCTGCTCTCGGAGCCACTGCAGGCTCCGCCCGCCTCGGCAGTTTGGGTATTTATTGACCTGTCCTCCGACCCGCTGACAGGCTCCAGGACCCCAGCGCCCTAATCCACGTTTTGGATGCACTGAGACCCCGACATTCCTCAGTATTTATTGTCTCTCCCCACCTAGGACCCCACCCCCGATCCTCGCGAATAAAAGGCCCCCCCGTCTGCCCAAAGCTGGGAACTCCAGGGTGTCCGCTCTCTTTGCGTTGTAGGAAGGCGGCTGCTCAGGGGGCCAATCGGAAGGCGAGTGGGGGCGGCCAATGGCCTGGCGGGAAGCTAGCGGGCCGCAGGGCTGACGAATCAGGGCTGGGGTGGGGGTGGGGACGCCGGGAGGCGTGACCTCGGCACCGGGCCAATAGGAGATGGCTAGCGAGCCACCAGGAGGCACCGCCCCCTGTCCAGCTGTGGCCCAGCTGTGCCACCCGCTCGCCGGGAAGAAGGGGGCTGGGCCCGCAGCGCGCGCGGCCATCCTACTACCACTGCGCCTGCGCTGGCCACGCGCCTCCGTTCCAGAGACTTGCTCGAGAAAAGTTGCTGCAAACTTTCTAGCCCATTTCCCCCGCCCCTTCTCCCGGCCAGACCCGCCCCCCTGCGGAGCCGGGAATTCCGAGGGGCGGAGCGCAGGCGGAGATGGGGAGTGGGGGGGCCTTCAAAGGACTCTGGAGACGGAGGCGTGCAGAAGCTTAGTCTCCGGGCGGAGGTGGCTTCGCGCCCTTAGCCCTCCCGGACGGCCCGTTACCTTCTCCGTTGTCCCGATGGGGAAACTGAGGCCCTGAGCCTGAGGCACACGCGGGGGGAGGCAAAAAAGCGCGGCCTGAGGCGGAGGGAAAACAAAAGGAGAATCACGGACAGACGGGGAGGGAGGCGGGCACTCACACAGACACTGGGACCGAGACCCAAGTGGAAAGCTGGGCCTGGCATTGCTGGGGGAGACGCGGGGTCGGCGCGGGGTAGAAGATCGGGAAGCGCGAAGGGGAGGGCGGAGAGGGGGGACGGGCTGGGGAGGGGGTTGGGGAAAGCCCGAGGGAGGAGGAGAAGGAGGGAGGAACTTCCCAAAGTTGCAAAACATGGCTACCTTGCCTGCGGAGCCGAGCGCGGGGCCGGCGGCCGGGGGGGAGGCGGTGGCGGCGGCGGCGGCGACTGAAGAAGAGGAGGAGGAGGCGCGCCAGCTCCTGCAGACTTTGCAGGCGGCCGAGGGTGAGGCGGCGGCCGCGGCCGGGGCCGGGGCGGGCGAAGCGGCGTCGGGAGCGGAGGGCCCGGGATCCCCGGGCGTCCCCGGGTCGCTCCCCGAGGCCGCTGCCGAGCCGCCCACGGGCCTCCGCTTCTCGCCGGAGCAGGTGGCGTGCGTTTGCGAGGCGCTGCTACAGGCGGGCCACGCCGGCCGCTTGAGCCGCTTCCTGGGCGCACTGCCCCCGGCCGAGCGCCTACGTGGCAGCGATCCGGTGCTGCGCGCTCGGGCCCTGGTGGCTTTCCAGCGGGGAGAGTACGCCGAGCTCTACCGGCTGCTCGAGAGCCGCCCCTTCCCCGCCGCCCACCACGCCTTTCTGCAGGACCTCTACCTGCGCGCGCGCTACCACGAGGCCGAGCGGGCCCGCGGCCGCGCGCTGGGCGCAGTGGACAAGTACCGTCTGCGCAAGAAGTTCCCGCTGCCCAAGACCATATGGGACGGCGAGGAGACCGTCTACTGCTTCAAGGAGCGCTCCCGCGCCGCGCTCAAGGCCTGCTATCGCGGCAACCGCTACCCTACGCCGGACGAGAAGCGCCGCCTGGCCACGCTCACCGGCCTCTCGCTCACGCAGGTCAGCAACTGGTTCAAGAACCGGCGACAGCGCGATCGGACCGGGGGCGGCGGCGGCGCGCCTTGCAAGAGGTGAGGGGAACCCGGGCGGCGCAAGTCCTGCTTTCCCGGGGACGTGGTACCCACCGGCCTCCCTCTCCCCCATGCCCATGGCCGGAGTCAGCGCGCCGAGCTCCTGGGACACCTCCTGCTCACACCGTCAGGTGCCCCCCCCCTCCCCAGGGCGCGGGGAATATGTGTGGACGGAACAGGCACACGCCCCCGGCCCTGCCCCCGACCCCGCTGCTCCTGTCGCGGAGGTTGGGAGACCTCATCCCTCTGCACCACCCGGGGCTCCGTCCCCAGTCCCATCCGCGTTCGTGGCTGGGGGGAGGCAGTGAGAAAATGGGGGGCTGTGGAAAGGGGGACCGGCCCTTTTCTACCCACCCCGCACGGGCCTTTCCCTGGCTGTGTCTTTTCCTCACCCCCCCATCCCCCCCTCGGGGCCCAAACAGCGTGGTCCGTCGTCTGTCTTTGTTGTGAAACGTGAACCTTCCCCAGCTCCGGTTTCCCTGTAACCCAAGCCCTTCCCCTCCCACCCTGCGCGCCGGCCTCTCACTCCCTTTTCTGACGCCCGGCGGGGTTTGGGGCGGGGGAGAGGTCCCGGGAACTGAGCAGGCTGCCGCCTCTCCACTCCGGGAAGACGCTGGGCTGCTTTCAGCCCGACCCAGGGGACCCAGGGGACGCTGTGCTGCCCAGTGCTCAGCCTCTGGGGCCCGGAGGCCAAGGGGCTGGGAGAGGAGGGCCTCCTCCCTCTGATGGGGCCAGCTTTAGCTTTTATGGAGAGGTATCAATGCTGGACTTGCAGAGGCTCCGTCCTTGGGGGTCCTTGAGTGGTCTCAGGAGGTTTTATAGTGCCCCCTCACGCTTTCTGCTGCAAAAGTTTGGGCTGGGGCAAGGTGGGGAGGTTGCAGTCCGCCGGCGCCCCTGCAGGCGTCTTGCTGGCGGCCAGTGGGGAAACGGGGCGTCCAGGGCTTCAGCTCACAATCCTTTCTATGGCCAGCGAGTCTGACGGGAACCCCACCACCGAGGACGAGTCCAGCCGCAGTCCCGAGGACCTGGAGAGGGGGGCGGCTCCGGTGCTGGCGGAGGCCCCAGCCCAGGGCTCTATATTTCTGGCCGGGGCCGCCCCTCCCGCGCCCTGCCCCGCCTCCTCCTCCATCCTGGTGAACGGGAGCTTCCTGGCCGCCGGCAGCTCTCCCGCCGTGCTCCTCAACGGCAGCCCCGTCATCATCAACGGCCTGGCCCTGGGGGAGGCCTCCAGCCTGGGCCCCCTGCTGCTCACGGGTGGCAGTGGCGCCCCTCCACCGCAGCAGCCCGCGCCCCAGGGGGCCAACGAGGGCAAGACCTCCCTAGTCCTGGACCCTCAGACCGGGGAGGTGCGGCTAGAGGAGGCTCAGCCTGAGGCCGACACCGCTGAGACCAAGGAAGCCCAGGTGGCTGCCTCCGGGCCGGCTGGAGAGGAGGCTGCTGGGCCTCTGCCCCAGGTGGTGCCCGGCCCCCCACCGGCCGCCCCCTTTCCTCTGCCCCCAGGACCCGTGCCCTCTGTGGCTTCTCCGCAGGTGGTGCCCCTTTCCCCACCCCCTGGGTACCCTGCAGGCCTGGGCCCCACATCCCCACTGCTGAATCTGCCCCAGGTGGTGCCCACCTCGCAGGTGGTGACCCTGCCCCAGGCTGTGGGGCCGCTGCAGCTGTTAGCCGCTGGGCCGGGCAGCCCCGTGAAGGTGGCAGCCGCCGCGGGCCCTGCCAACGTGCACCTGATAAACTCCGGGGTGGGCGTGACGGCCCTGCAGCTGCCCTCGGCCACTGCCCCAGGTACCTCCCGCCTTGCTGATGTGGGGGGGGGAGGCTGGGAGGTTGGGCAGCCCATCCCTGGCACAACCCGAATCTCCAGAGCCAGTCGGCTGGCCTGAGGCTCCGGCCATGCAGACACAGCACCCCCACCCCGATCTCCCTGCGGGCCCTGTGGAGCACCAGCTTCACCCCGCGCCTGGCCCATCTCTCATCCCCACAGGAAACTTTCTCCTGGCCAACCCCGTGTCCGGCAGCCCCATCGTGACGGGGGTGACCGTGCAGCAGGGCAAGATCATCCTCACGGCCACCTTCCCCACCAGCATGCTGGTCTCCCAGGTCCTGCCGCCTGCCCCCAGCCTGGCCCTGCCCCTGAAGCCAGACCCGGCCGTCTCAGTGCCCGAGGGAGCCCTACCGGTGGCCCCCAGCCCCGCGCTCTCGGACATCCATGCCCTGGGCCCACTGTCTGCCCCGCAGCCGCCGCCACCGCCTGTCCCTGCTGCCGCCGCCGCTACCAGCCTGCCCTTCTCCCCAGATTCCTCCGGCCTCCTGCCTGGCTTCCCGGCGCCCCCGCCCGAAGGGCTCATGCTGTCACCCGCAGCCATGCCCGTCTGGCCCGCGGGACTGGAACTGAGCACAGGCCCGGAAGGGCTGCTGGAAGCCGAGAAAGGGCTGGGGACACAGGCCTCCCACACCGTGCTGAGGCTGCCAGACCCCGACCCCGAGGGTCTGCTCCTGGGGTCCACGGCAGGCGGTGAGGCCGACGAGGGGCTGGAAGCCGAGCCCAAGGTTCTGACCCAGCTGCAGTCGGTGCCTGTGGAAGAGCCTCTGGAGCTGTGAACCCCCCCACGCAGCCCCCCCGGGCCTCATCGCCTCTGCTGCCAATGGTGCTCGAGATCCAGGACCGCCTGGGCCGAGGGGCTGCTCAGACACCATCGCTGTGAGCCCAAGATTCTACCCACGGCGTCCACCCCCGCCCCAGGCTGCGTAACCTCTCTGAGCCCTGGAGGTGCCAGGGGGACTCGCTCCTGTCCGCTCCCGTCCAGGAACACCGTCCTCTGGATCGGGGCCCTCTGTTACAGCCCTCTCCTTGCTCTGTGTGCCCAGATACGCATGGAGGTTTGGGGGTCCTGACTCGGGGCTGCCACCCCCAACCTGGTACTAGCTGTGAGCCGAAAGCTCGGCCACGTGGCTGATTTCCAGCCCCCTGAGCCCTCCCCCTGTCACTCATCAAACACTATTAATAGCTCCGCTGACGTCCAGTGTTCTCAGAACCACTTGGAGTCGGAGGGTGGAGGCCGGGCGGTCCTGTGCCCCAGACCGATGGAGCCTCGGGGCTGGGCCCTTCCTGCTGAGAAGGGAGGCAGGTGCGGGGAGGCCAGGGGAAGACCCCCCTCCCCAGACTAGAGCCCTCATTCTCACATCCGGCCCCAGACCAAAGATCCCTTCACCCCTGGGGCAACCCTGACCACTGTGTCTAGTTTGTATCAAATCTTTATTTTTCTAGGACATGTTACGCCTCCATTTCAATTAAAATAAAGTTAACAGACAACTAGACCCTCCAGAGGTGTGAGCTACCTTCTGCGTTACTTGCCCGAAGGAAACACTGAGCCAGAAAAAAGCCTGACCTGAGATTCTGGTTTTC